AAAGTCGTGGGGCAGCGTTGACAAGTTTCTTTTCTCCTGGATGTGTGAGCTGCGCGATCTCCGATATATATATGTGTGTGTGTGTGTGTGTGTGTGTGTGTGTCTGTGTCTGTGTCTGTGTGCTTTCAGACTCTGTTGTGATGGTGATACTCTATAAGTTGACAACACATTGTCATTGAGTGATAAAGAAACATTCATGAATGAGATAATTAAGCACAGATGTGCTTAATGTTAAAGAGTTCATTTAATGTGGTACTTGCACACACCGAAAGCTGCCTCTCAGATAGCATGCAATTTTGAATTCAGTTCTTTTTTGCAGATTATTGCACTTCAGTGGTCAAATACTTAAAAATGTCAGTTTGCCTGTATTGGCAAGTATTAATGTAAGCGCAGTCTGTTGTGTCTTAAGTGAACGTAAACAATTGGGAAAGAAATCTGATGTCTGAAATCTGTGTATCGGTATATTGAATCCGTACATTTGGTCTTAAAGGAGACATATTATGCCCCTTTTTACAATATGTAATATAAGTCTCTGGTGTCCCCAGAATGTGTCTGTGAAGTTTCAGCTCAAAATACTCCACAGATAATTTATTATAAAATTTTGAAAATGCCTATTTTGAGTGGAAGCAGAAACGCGCTGTTTTTCGGGCCTGTTTCTTTAAATGCAAATGAGCGGCTGCTCCCCGCCCCTTTTCCAGAATAGAGCTGAGCCATTACAGCTTGGACCTGCTAAAAACATCTGTTTTGGTTCTGATTATCATGTTTATCGCGCTGAAATCATGCGTTTTAAACCATATGCGTTTAAACTTCTGATATAAGGTTTTCTGAGTGCAAAAGAGCGCACACATCTGAAGCACACGGACAGAAAGCGGCTGTCACAGCATGTGAGTACTAATCTAAGTTCTCATTCACACACAAATTTACGTTAAAAACACACATGAGTTGCAAAAACAGTCGGTTATGTCTGTGAAGGTAAACTGCTGGGAAATAAATCGCATGTTTATTTTAGATCTGTGTGGCAGCAGCAATATACAGTAGCCTAAATAAATCAATAAATCCACTGCTCTGTTGTCTCCTCTGAGGCTGGGACTCTAAACAGTGTTCTGTGCTCGTCTATGCAGCCAAAGACAGAACAGTTAGCATGTTTTGCTCAAACTTTCGCCATGGCATAAGCATGTATTATTTGCTTAATCTTTTATCCAAAGTGACTTAACACTGCCTTCAAGGTATGCTCCATGCTCTAATGGAAACTGTACATTTTTCATATCAACCATTTATCAGTAATAATTATCAGCTTAACAGTATTATTAATATCTGTGCATCCCTAATCTTGAAATGTCGATGAACTGTCACACATGATGCTATCAGCAGAGTTTGTGAAAATGCTGACGATGGTGTGTGTGTGAATGTGGCGCGTGAGGTGCTGTGTTGCATGTTGTGGTGCGTCAGACGCTTGATGGATGGAGACTGCGTTAGCTGCACTTTTCTCTGCCGTCTGCAGCTGCAGAGTCCAGATGTACCTCGGCGTCTTTTCATGCGTGTCCTAAAGCACTGAAGAATCACCTGATCTTCAGCCAGCCAATTAACCCCCACATGCAAACACGCTGCTAAAAGAGCACACCCTACGCTTTTTAACATCTGCCATCTTTGTGCATTGAATCCTCGGCTGTGATCTCATCCGTACCTGGTACTTCAGAAAACACAGACCTTTCCAGCTTTCTAACGATATTGCCGATACTGCTCTGAACTGGAAACGAAGACAGTCTCGCTCTCTGACTCATCTATGCCTCAGTCAGTGACTCTCAATGCTTGCTGTGGCAGAAGCAGTCAGTATGTTTAGTGTTATTCAGGCCTGTGTCTGTAGTGGACACACAGGCCGTCTAGTGGCTGTAACCACCCACACTTTCATTTGTTATTGAATGCATACTCTGCATGCACATGGCTCCAGTCGCCACCCTGTGTGTCCTGTGTGTGTCATTTATTTTGTTGAAGATGCTGAAGGATGTTGTTTGGGTATGTTAAAGTTAAACACAACACTAGGCCTTTCTCTGTCTAAATGTACTTTTGCTTGTCATAGGTGACTGAATATCTGAATGGCCAGGAATCTGCCAAGAGTGCCAGGGTAAGAGCTGTAATTTTAAACTCTCATCCTCTTCAAATCTTTCTGCTTTATCACACAGCTGTAAATTCTGACTGATCGACCACAGTGTTTTGCAGCAATTCATTTATTTATATTTATATAGGTAACACTTTAAAATAAGGTTCCATTAGGTAACAAACAGGCGGACGCTGCTGCTAAAGAAGCACTATTCACAGATATCGAAATGTGTTCCATGTACCCTCAGATCTTTAAACTCACCACAGCATCTTGCGTCATCAACAAATGGCAAAATGAATGGGATCAGTGTATGAAGTTAACCCTACTGTGGGTAAAAGTTGCATCTTTATTTTCATTAATCACTAGGATCAGATTGAAAAAAATTAACTTAAATGATTTTAGCAAATGGCTGCAATATAACAAAGAGTGAAAAATTTAAGGGGGTCTGAATACTTTCCGTACCCACTGTACATTATGCTAAATAGGACATTAAAGAAAGACACACAAGTTCTTAATATCAAATGAAGATTCACCGATATGCTCTTCATGCCAGTGAGTCCAGTTTCTTTTAAACATTTTATTAAATTGTGCTGGTTTAAAGTCTTTTAGGAAATAATATTACTCCGCAAACACTTTTGAAGAAATTTTGTACAGATTCAACCCTGAATCTGTTTTAGAGTTATCTAAAGTGAATTTAAAAAACCTGATACAGGTTTTAAATTGCTCTTTTATTTTATTTCAAATTGTAAATGAATATAGAAAACTGGCATGACATTAAAACATCAACCAACCAACCCATTAGTTAAATGCAATAAGATTAACTTACAATGAGGAATACATTTGTTACTGTATTTTTATTAATGTTCATTAAATACAAATGTATACATTGTTAGTTCATGTTAACTAATGTTAACAAATTGAACCTCATGTAACCAAGTGTTACCTATTATTACATACATAGGTATATACAATATAATTTATATAATTTTAGCGCTAGACTGTATATTTGAGGCATCCTCAGTTCATGTTAGTGTCTTTATTATTATTATTAGTCTTGTATTTCTCCTTCCCTGCTGCTTGTCTATATTGCTTAATGCCCTTGTTGGCACAGAAAACCGAAGAGTTTTGTTTTCAGAACTGGCTTTGGCTTTGTTACCTGTAACATTGACTTTTATGCAGCGCGGTGCACATTGAACAGTCTTTTGGCTAAAACATTGCTCCATATGACAAGCCAATAGCTGTTTAACAAGACTCAAGCAGAAGAGAGAACCATGCCAACCCAAGATCTTGATGATGATGTCCCTGCTAACGACGGCGCTAATTATCATAGACATTAATTAGCTGTGATTCTCTCAGAGTTAACAGCCACATGCACACCGATGACAGAAATTGAGAAAACATAAAAGCCTCTGTATGACATACAAAATGATTTCCCATCTTCCCGAAGAATCTCTGAAGCCGAAACGATTCTCTTTTGCACAAATGAACCGTTTCGCTGCTTTGTGGCAAAACCGATGTAAAATAGAAGGGCTGCGATGGAATTTGTTGGAGGTAAAGTCTTCACGCGTGACTGGATGTGAAAGGACTAGAGTTAAAGAGCACGGTAAACGACCGTTCGCCTCGTTATTACTGAGGTGTGATGATGTTACAGACCAGCTCGTGTTTTAATGTTCCTGTCTACACGCTGGCCGTCTGCGCCTCAGTCTCACAGACACATGGGCAAAAACGCTTATCAGAATTTAATGATGGTGAATCAGTGCTGTCAGGTGACTTAAAGCCTCAGTTTGATACTTATTAATGTTTCATTGAAGTTATTTAGAATTTGGGGGGGGGTTCAAATGTTTGTTTTCTCTTTCAACAATTATTGCAATGTTATTTTACCCCACGTGTCCATTTGAAGAAGAAGCCCATTTAAAACATCAAAGATCTGCTGCTTTAGAGGATTCTTCTTCATTATAATCTATGATGCTTTCAATGCAGGGTCAATAAGTCTCATATGCATGGTTACAGTGCTTAAAATATATATAAAGTGTTAACTTAATACTATATTGGCAGCTTAGCTTCAGCAAAGCCACAATGAAAGTGTCCAAACTGCATTTGAAATCTGAATTAATTTTAGTAATAGAGCTTTTTTTGACATTCTCACCAGTTGCATGGCTGACATTCCCACAGTGTACAGTTAGAGCTATATTTTAACTATCTGTCTTTAATTGATTATTTTCCTTTTCATTTGCAGCTTAACATTTGGCGTTATGGAGATTTCCGTGATGATGACGCGGATGAGTTCGGCTATCGCCGCTAAGTCGTTGTTCCAAAGACCTTGAGGAAGACAAGATGCATTCGAAGAGAACACAAAAAAATAAATACAAATCATGACAAAAAAAAACACAACAAAATATCAGTATGCTCTTATTTTTTCTAACGTTGAACATTTTTCTCTCTCTGTTGTTTTTTTTTTTTATACTCTGTGCATATCCTCTCTTCTGCCCAAGGACTTTGTTTCTTGTCATTTTCTTCTTTTTTAAAAAAAAAAAACAAGTAGGCTACAGATAACTCTACCTGTAACTGCTTCAAATAGGACCAACGTACTTACCTTAATCTTAAATTTTGACATGTTAGCCAATCATCTTTTTCATGTACATTTTTAGCCAATCACCAGCTGTCAAACCCCATCCTAGCAAACCTGATCTGCCCAATCAGATTTCTATATTTTGGGGCAAGACTTTTAAAGAAATGAGGGGGATGCACAGAGCAACCGTGAACTCAACAGCTTGCTGAGAAAACGCCTCCTTAATCATGAGATTCTATATTTCAGTATATATATGGATATTTTGAAGTTAGATCAGAACTAACCAAGTGAACTTACTGAGCGTATTTTTATCTCTCTCTGATGTGATCTGAGTGTTCAGTGACATTTCTGGGCATTTGTGTAGGACGTGTGTTTTCTCTTTTTCTGTGGCAAAAGAACCGCTGCCAGCACCTTTACAAGCATCTCCCGGCTTCCTCTGTGAGGTTTACTCAACGGTCATCGTTTCTTCTTTTCCCGCTCTTGCCCGCCATACAGAAACAGTATTTGAATTTCTTTCTTTCTGAGGTAGACCCTGTCATTGTATTTAAATCTGAGAAATAAAAATGAGCAAAGTGCCATGTTGTCTGACTGGTTTTGAGGGTTGGGGTGGTGCCGAGTTCCTTTTTTTGAACATTTACAACACAGTTTGTGTCACATGAAGAACATTATATAAAACACTATAGTTACTACACTACAAAGGCAAAACACAGTAACTACACCAATGCATCTATGGAGATTTCTGGTGTTTTCATTGATTTGGTATTAACAGTCATGGTTAATACTGACAAAATACAATTTTAAGTTAAAGGGAGAGTTCATTCAAATATTTAAATTGTCTTGATTTACTCACCCTCAAATTGTACCAAACTTGTATAAATGTATGGTTACACTTTATTTTAAGGTGTCCTTGTTACAGTGTAATTCTAAGTACTGAGTAATATTAATCAACTACATGTACTTACTATATGGTTAGGGTTACTATTATGCATTTTAGTAGGGTTACTAATTATGCATAATTTATTGTTATTGTAATAGTAAGTACATATAACATGTGTAACAAGGACACCTTAAAATAAAGTGTTACCAATTTTATTTCTTCTGCTGAAAACAAAAATATATATATTTTGAAGAATGTGCATAACCAAATCATTTCTGGTCTCCACTAACTTCCATAATATGGGGAGGGTGGGGTACTATAGAAATCAGTGAGGACCAAAAACTGAAAAAATATCATGTTTTGTGTTCAACAGAAGTAAGAAACTCATACAGGTTTGGAACAACTTGAGGGTAAGTAAATGACAGAATTTTAATTTTTGGGTGAACTAACCCTTTAATACGGTCACTGTATACAGTACACTACCATTCAAAGGTTTGGGCTTGGTAAGATGTTTGCTAAAAAGTATTTTAGGCTGCACCAAGGCTGCATTTATTTGATTAAAAATACAGTAAAAACAAGTCATTTCTGAAATTATACTGGAATATAAAAAATTATTTTCTACTTTTATATATTTTAAAATGTAATTTATTCCTGCAATGACAAAACTGAGTTTTCAGTGTCACATGGAAATGCAGTAACCACATGATTCAAATTAAATTTGAGCATTTACAAAATACAAAGTGTATGAAGGCTAAGAAGACCCATGAATGTATTTTTAATGAGTCCCGAGCATGTTTCTCCCTCAGTGTTTTTTTTAAAGACAAAATGATAATCTAAATGCAGTCCTCATGTTTTAACCACATTTGGTTTCAGAATAGTGGCAGATCCACCCAGCGTGATGGAGGTGAGCACTGAGTCTCTTGCTAAAACTGCACTTGAGGAATCGCCTTCGTTTGGGGCTTTAGCTTAATGGCCATTATCTCTACTAAAAACATCATCGCGTCTGTTCTCCACTGCCCTAATGAACCATAAATCCCCCCGGTTTTGCCCAGTGCAACTCAGGGTATTTATTAGCTCTGTGAGAAAGGGCTTTTTGATGAGATTATGGTATAATGTAGTTCTCTAATGTTAGTTTATGACTTTTAGAACAGAGTTCTGCCCAGATTTATCTCATTGCTGCGCTGATGTGCTGTTTCAGCTTTATTATAGCCCTTTATTAAGTCAAAACACTGGAAATAACTCATTTTCAGGTTAATGAGATCTAACTTCACATTCATGTAATATGTTTTGGCCTTTAACAGAAGGACATCATGTCCTTGTCAAATGAAGAAAGAGCTCATCTCCATTTCATGTCTTTTTTTCCTCAAGTGAATCTAGCAGTGTTCAGCTTGATTGGCTCAATTCTTTGACCTTTCTAAACCTTTTATGTTAAATAATTTAAGGACTCAAACCCATATATATTCACTCAAATTGAGAAATATGAAACTTGAGATTAACATTATGTAGGTCAGAGCCATGGTGCAGCAGAAAGTGCCGTGGTGAACACACAGATGATTCAGATTCACATTTAAATCCACCTTATGTCCCCATCTCCTTTTTCTTGCCCCCTCTCCATTATATCATGCTTATAAGATGCTTTGTGCGATATTAATCCTGAACTTTAAGAATTTTATTTTAAAAAATATTTTTTTTTTAGTTTTGCCACCATGATTTGTTGTGGGTATATTGAGAAATAAAGTGTAATTTAGGATGATTTAGGAGAGCTGTGAAAGATATTAACATTTGTCGCCTCGTTGTCCCAATTAGTTTTATTTCTACTTTCATAATCTTTTATTTTCTCTCTCTCTTTCCAGGCAGGTGTTAAATGTTACATTTTTGGTGTTTTAAATAGTAAGTTTTACCTCAAGATGTCCAGAAAGTTTCAGTATTCTTATCTGTCCTTCCAACTGTGTTTCTTCTCTCATCCTCACATCTGTCAGTCCTCAAGGGGAAACACCCTGCTGCTGTTTTAACCTGTCTTTCATCATGGGATATGAACTACATGAGTGTCTCAGTCTGCCAGTACGCATGGAATATATTCAGTGTATGTGGGTGTTACACATGATCTGACACACTGAGTGCTCTGGTCCATGCGGTTGTGTGACTCTCACCTGCTTGCAACTCTTGTGTCTTCTCTCTTCTCCTTCTGGTTCTTCTGTTCTCTATGGTGTGGACACTCTGGGTGTGAGAGGAAACAGAAGACGACAATGTAGCCAAATGTAAACAGCATCTCTATGGCAAATATATAACTTTATTCACAAGTTAGCATTTAAAAGGCCAGTTCACCCAAAAACGTGATTTAATGACTTAAATTTCAGTCTGTTTCTTACAGGAAGCTGTTGTGGAGTTGGGATATAGCACATGTATCCTATGGTCTACTTTATGATGCTTTTTTTAAGCTTGAAATCTTCAGTTCTCATTGAAAAGAGACCAGCACAGTATTTCAACATCCTGCTTTTGTACTCTACAGAAAAAAATGAAATTCATACAGCCTTGGAACAACATGAGGGTGCGTGAAAGATGACCATTTTCATTTGAGTTAACTATCCCCTGAAGCGAAAATTGGATCAATTTCTAGACTTTCAACAAAGCTTGTCTTTCAAACTGTGCACTTATACAATACGACAAACACGCTTCTGCTGACAATAGAGACAATCAACAGAGAATGATTTTGAATTTCTGTGCAGACTGCATTGAAATAGTAACTGTGTTTGTTCAGTGCTCTTAAACTTGAAGGGGAAAAGGAATGAAATGCAATGGATATGTGTTTTTCACACTTAAGCTTAAGGATCAGAGGTCAGAATTTGATTTTTTTTTTTTTTCCAGCAAATTTTATTCTGGCAGATCAGTTCAGTTGCTCAGCTGCATTTCTTGTTTGACATCAGTCAAAAGAGCAGAAAAACAGCAGAAATTCAAGAAATGGATGTGCAACCATGAACTTGAGGTGCTGTGAGAATCTTAATGTATTTTTTTTCCACATAGTAAGGTCTGAGAAGTGTTACAGATTTGTTTTTTATTGCGTACGGTTAGAAACTAATGCTAACAATATTCAGGGTTTCTGCATGTCTTAAGTCTTAATTAGCATTTTTCAAAAACCAAGGCCTTAAAATTCATAAAGTCATGGCATTAAATGTTGCATGCTTCTTCTGTATAAATATAGAACATCCTTAAATCAAGATACATTTACTTGAGATGCAAATTGAAGATATGAAGTCTTGTTTTCTGAAAAATTACACAAAATCAGTTTATGCAAGAACAAATATTTAAACTAGAACAAATATCTGTCAATAGAATATTAAAACTTCAAATCCCTTTGATTTTTTTCCCCCCAAAGTAATCTTTGAAGCATTGCTAATACAAAACATATACATTTAGAGATTAGTATTGTGCTCCTTCCAACTTATTCCTTAAGTTTTCTTTATTTGGTCTTAAGGTCTTTAAAGGTTTTAAATTTACTATCATGAAACCTGCAGAAACCCTGTATATTATCCCTTTAATGTTACATTGGTATCAACAGCTACACTATATTTTCTTGGATTTGACTCTCATTAACCCTTAACACAGTTGCTTCCTCCTGCCACTGCTGAGACTCAATAGCTGCGAACTCTGATCCCAGACTCAATCTCTCGGGGCAGTGTTAGTTGCTCTTATGAGCCAGCTTCCATGTCTTCTGCATGTGTCTTAGTGACCTCCAGATGCTCAGAAGAGGTCTGTGTGAGAGCCAAGAGCGAGAGAGGGAAATGGTGTGGTCTTGTTGGGAAGAGGGCATGCACCTCTAATGGAGGCAGTATAAGAGGATTTCTGCCTCCGACAGCCATGTGCCAAACACTGCGAGGCAGATTGAGCAGCGAGAGGAGTCCAGAATAACTGTTTCTCCTCGCTCATCATTCTGTTAGATCACCATGGCAGCCAGAGGATGAAAAAAAGATCCTGGATAAACTTCGGAAATGATCAAGGACATATATTCACATCATATGTGAATATAATTACTGTGGTCTACTTGTGAACATTAATGTCGGCTGAATCATGTTGGATTCTCATTAGCAGAGCTCTACAGAGATAAATGACAAAGAGTGTAATTATCTATAGAGTGTCAGTGAGAGTCACTCTCATTCTCCTCTTGATGAAAGCTATATGCCTGCTAACCTGAAAAGACAGGATCTGTTTAAAACTAGATAACCGTTTTAGTTGAATTCCTGACACAAAAGCTGTTCCAAAACGGCAAAAGGTTTTTGAGGAAAATATTCCTGGATTTTCCTCCATATAGTGGACTTCAATGGGGTTGAAGGTCCAAATTGCAGTTTCAATGCAGCTTCAAAGGGTTCTATCCCAACTGAGGAATAAGGGTCTTATCTCATTTTCTAAAAAAAAAAATATATATATATATATACAGTGGGTACGGAAAGTATTCAGACCCCCTTCA